TAAATAGTTTTATTTGAGACTGGTGATCAATAATTTTATTGTTGTGTGAATCATAAAGTTTGCTGCTTTTAACTGTATTTATGCTTTTATGCTCTTACACAAGTGTCCAAGAAGAAATTTATATTAGAAGAATATATACATATTGTGTGTGTCATCTGACTGTCATCTCGCATCGTAGAAGAAATATGCAACTTCCTTTTACTTCTATCCAGGTTTCTGGCAACTGAAAAAACTTTAAAAATGTCTTATGATATATACAGAAAACAATTCATGATAGAATCAAAACGATTAGTAAATCAACTTCGTAAGACTAAATAAAACCTTGGCACTTTCAACAGATTGACTTGTCTTTTTCTGTAGTCTCAAGTCAACCTATCAAAAGCCCCTAGAGTCCAAAAATATATCAAAGTAAAATTCAGTGTTGAATTCTGTTTAATATGAAACACATTTTGTTAAAAGGTTACATAAAGTTGGTTATTATATTAAAAACAAAAATGTCAATTTTTTAATTTTAGATTTGGAATTTGCAAAAATATTTTCTTTTCATTGAATGGAAGTACTGACAGAAAAAAATTAGATAACTTCATTCTCCCAAACTTCAGCATTCTTTACTTGCTCAGGGGAGGTTAATGAGTGTCAGCCTCCTCCTTCCAGCTGAATTTACAAGGGAGATTTTATTTATAAACCACTCAAATATTTGGCTAGGCAAGCGTACGTTCTCAGCAAGGAGTTCAGCTTCTCCAACTTGGGTGGGTACATTAGACAGTCATAAGATGAAAGTATTCATCCAGTATAGCTGAACTGAATCAATGAAAATCTCTGATAGGAAAGGAGTATACATTTTTAACAACTGTTATATATTTAAATTTGTGGGAGGGAAGGAGTATACAAAATTAAATAACAGTTGAAGTCTGATCTACACTTAAACATGTGGTAAGGAATGAATATACAAAATTAAAATTCAGTGTAAATGTTTTATCTAAATTTAAAACCCTTGAAGGGAAGGAGGATACAGTTTAAACTTTAAATTTTGATTGGGATTTAAAACTCTTAATAACTGGTTTATATTTAATGTGGCAGGGACGTAGTATACAGAATTCAATTTCAGTTTTAACAACTGGTTTAGATTTAAACTTCTGATCATTGGAAAAGTTTAACTTCATTCTGTTTCTGTATTATCTTATCCATTATCTTGTATCACATTATGAAATTTGATTATATAGTTTAAATATTAACTTGTAAAAAAACAACAACATAGAATTTAGGTTTTTTGCTGTTTCTGTAGCATTATTTATCTCTGGAGTTTTTCTGTCAATTGGTGCTCATCAGCATTAAGTTCATAAAACATTTATAACATTAGTAGCAAGTATTATTTTGTATTATAATTACCTACACTAGTTGTGGAAGTCCATTATCATATTTGTTTCTACATGAAGTCAGATATTTCTGTAATATGACAGATTATTCTTATCTGTTTATTCAAATTAATTATAGATCCTCATATCTGTTTTCATTAACCAAGTAGTTGGAGAAAAAATATAATGTAACTTTAATATTTTAGGTTAATGAAGAACTCTAATTTTTTTTCTGTTGATCTGCTTATGTACACTAATGGAGAACTTATTTAACACAATATGATTGTACTTTCTCATTACACAGCCTTTTCAACATATTTAGTCCGTTTTTAGTACCCTCTTTGAAATATTTAACTATCTAATGGCCTTTTTAACTCTAACATCATTTTCAGTACGTTCAGCTTTTTATAATTGACTTTTCAACAAATTTTAAAGTATTTTGGGTAGCCTTTTAAACACTGAAATAGTCCCTTCAGTAGATTAACCTCTTACTAATATCTATACATAAAACTCTTTCTGAAAGTGTTTTTCAACTTTTTTATAAAGTCTTTTCAACATATTCATCTCTTTAGGGTTTTAAAAAAAGCAAAACAACTTTCAACCACATTAGAAATACTAAGAAGTAGGCCCAGTTATTTCTGTGATTATTATGAACACATATGTATATAAATGTGTATTATTTCATACTTTATGATTAGTCTAAATATATTTACATACAAGTAACTATTTCAATATATTCTTGACCATTCTTGTGCATAATTTCATAAAATAAGTAAGAACATTCAAAGTTTAAAAGTGCACAATAATTTATTGTATAAGTTAAAAGTAAAATATACATTTAAAACTATATAATTATATTGTACATGTTTTGGTGAAAACAAGTTCCACAGTCTTCAGGAAACAAGAAGAAACACAGGAAATTTAACTTTTTATTTTTATACCAGCAAGTGCATATATATAATTTACATATTATATAGTGCCATCTACAGAATGGATTTCCAAATTTCTGCGGCACCAGGACTTAAATCTGTATTCAAAATCATTTTTATATAATAATTTCAAGAGATTCTCTTATGTTTAATTCATTTCTTAGCTTAACTTCTTTAAGTACTTGTACCTTATTCCATTCTCCAATTCAATGTCATGTGAAGAGTGTTCTACGAAGACCAAATTACTAGTTTTACATTTTTTGACAGCATTTTTTGTTTTCATTTATTAGTGGCTTGAATTATATTGGACAAACAAGCATAAATTTGAAGTTTTGAATTAATGAACACATTGAAAAATTAAAAACTATTGATTTGGCCTTGGTGGAATATGTGGCAAACTCTTTACATAATAATGAATGGAAAAAGGTCCAAGTACTTAAAGAAGCTAAAATATCAATTAAACATAAGAGAATCTCTTGAAATTATTAAACATAAAATCATTTTGAATGGAGATCTAGGACCTGGTGCTACAGAAGTGAATTTTTGAATTCCTTCTGCAGATGGCACTGTATAACAATTGATATAGGTGCACTTGCTGGAATAAAAATGAAATTTCCTGTGTTTCTTCTAGTGTAAAGTTTTTAATTGTATATTTTACTTTTAACTTGTACAATGAATTATTATGCATTTTTAAATGTTGAATGTTCTTACTTATTTTAATAGATTGCATATTCCTGAGTAACATGACATTAATTGTTTCTCTTAAGGTCCTAATGTCATTATATGTGTAAAATGATACAATAATTACAATCATACAAACTTTATGCTGTTTATATTGATATAATTAGTCTAATACTTTATAGTTGTTGTTTTAACTATATTGAATATTATAACTAAAGTATATTTTTGAGTTTACAAGGGAAAAATAAACCTGACTTAAAGCATATGTTTTTGTTAGCATCAATATATATGTATGTGTGTGTGTGTACATATACATTGCTCTTTAACTATAAAGAGCAATTTTTGTAAAATTTTACATCAAGAAAAAAGTGTAATAATACAGCAAATCCTTTATGTATGTGCATATATATATATATATATATATACATACACACACACTTTTAAACAAATTTTATTTTTCTCAAGATTCTTACTTATAGTAGTATAGTTGAGTAATTAATAAAATCCTAAACAAATTTTTCAAATACAAATAGGGAGTGGAAATAGTAACTATTATGCCTATAAAATACAAGTTCCAATAAGAATGACTTAATTTCTAGTATCTTGCTACCTTACAGAATCATTTTAGGTCAGTTAACCTAATGCAGTGTTTCATATTGTATTTCATTGATTTTGCTAGAACACTTGATTCATTAATTTAACTATTCAAGAATAGTTTTAGTTTTGCTAGTAGAACTTGCCCATCACGAAGTACCACATAATTTTATCATAGAAGTCAAGATTATACTGTTTATGATTATAATAAAATTAGAACAGATTTATATGGAACTATGTGACACTGCATTTTATTATTGTTACAGTACAGTATTCTTTGCAAGTCCTTAAAATATGTATTGTTCTGTTTTTTTGTGATGTGTCTATGTTGGTTTATTGGAACTAAAACATTTAAATATAAAAAAAGTGCCTGCTATAATTGAGTAATAAACTAATTTAGCTTGTGTTAATTAAAAATATATTAATATTCACATATTATCTGAAATTTTGGACTAGCATTAAACCATGTTGACTTTTTAGGTCATATTTGTGTTCTTTAGCCATTCCCACTTTAGAAGTAAAAATCAGGCCTAACAGGGAGATCGTACATATGGGAGACTCGTTAGATCTGGACTGTCAAGTCTCTGGTGACCCGTCTGCTATTACTCAGTGGTCCAAGTTAGAAGAAGATGGACCACTACCTGCTAACATCTATGTTTATGGCAGTATCTTGAGCATTAATGGAGTTCGAGCTGAAAATGGTGGTGTTTATCGATGCACAGTGGAAACTAGACTTGGAACTTTTAACGATGACTATGTGCTAGCTATTCGAGGTAACTATTAAGTGATATTATAATGTAGTTTATTACATTCAAAATACCAGTGTTGTATTAGCTGTTAAGATGTCTTGTTAAACATTTATAATTTGTCTAATAATGTAAACATGTATAATTGTCTTGTGAAACTATTCATTATTTTTCTTAGTAGTTTGGAATATTTCTGTGAATGTGAATTTTTCTACAACATGTTCTCTAGGATCTAATTAATTTGATACTTGTAAACTTCTTCTTTTTAACCTTCTAGTTTGTAAAGGACTGACCCAAAAATTGGGAGACTTCAGAAATCATTAGTGATATTTAATTGTAGTACAAATGGTATTTCCATTTCTTTATTTTATTTTTACATCGCTAAGGACCAAAGTCTTGGACCAACAATTAATTTGTTGCATAGTGGTTTAGAACAATATATTTAAAAAACTTGTGCAGTCAATCAATGATTGTAGGGCTTAATCTTTGTTCACTAATTGTGTGGTTTAACTATAACATTTTTTTAGTCTAAAAGTAATTTCTAATTCTGAATCTTTTGCCGAAAGTTTGAGAGACAACATATGTATATTCATCCAAAATACTGATTTTGTTATTTGTTTTTATCATTTAAACAAATAAACTGAACTTTTTTGAAACAAGCTCTATATAACATTGTTTTTCCTAGCAATAAATATTTTAGTAGTATTAAAACAGTTTCTGAATTAATTTTATGTCATGTTACCATGTACTTTGTAACTGGTACTTAAGAATTGAAAATAGATGGCAGGCTTTATTATTTATTAAGCTCATCAAACCATTTTTCATGCAATACTTGTGGGGAGCATCTGATTATTAAGTAAGTACTAAATTCTGTTGATCAGCTTGAGAGAATCGCATAATATTAACCTTGGAAGGTTGTTGGATAGTAGAAGTCTCTAACTTGATGAAGTCAGTAGTTGTCTTCATAAAAAAATGTTTGTTAAGTATTAAATATATATATGTGTGTGTGTGTACTGTAGTTGTTAATATTGTACTATTAAGTACTAGATGACACTTTTCCATGTGAAGAAACATCAGATTGCTAATGGAATAGAGGTCATTTCTGAGCGAAATAAGATTGTAAATTTTACTAATATATCAGTGAAAAACCAATGAAACTCTACTTTCTAACTGACCATTTGACACTGTTTGAAAGTGGACCATGCATGGCCTAATGGTTATCATGACTGGACTCTGAAGACTCGTGGTTCTCATTCCAGTGTCACCCAAGTTTTTGAAAGTGGATTTACTACAATAGTGTTGGTGAAATCCCATTATACTATCATATAAAACTAGCCCAAAAGTTGGTAATAGATGCTATTGACCATAGCTGCCTTCTCTTTAATATATTAGTTCAAAATTAGATATGGCTGTGTGAAGATAAACATTGTGTAGCTTTGCATGAAATCTGCTTAAAACTTCTTTGAATGTTATAATTAAGTAGATCAGTTAGGAAAGTGGTTAACATTACTGGAAGGTTTCTTTGTTGGAGACAGTTTCAACACCCTATCATGGATCTTCATGTCTGTTTTTGTAGAATTTGCTGTGTTTTTACCCTGTAGACTACCCATACTGGAGAACCCTTGTGTACTATTGTCTTCATTGATTGAATGGAAGTGTTTCTTGATTGGTTGGTTGGTCTTGTGAACAAGTCTTGTGATTAGTTGATTTTGGAAGAGTAATCTTTAAATTACTTATCTCCATTTCTAAGTTCCTTTTATTCTTAATACTTACTTGAAACATTTAAAATCTGTCTCCAACATACACGGAGAAAAGACAACAACAAAACAGAAACTCAACTTGAAGCTAAATTAACCATTCCATGTATTCCCAAAATGAATTATGACATTCATATATAGGAAATAAGTGATCCTATGGACTGTCTTAATCAGGAGAATTAGGAAGACTGTCAGTTTAATGGGGACAAAGATTCTTTACAGTAGGTGTCTGTGACTTGATGGCAATAATATTCAACAATACATGGACAGCACACAATCCACTTGTTTTAAAATAATATAACCAAAACAAGTCAAAAGTATATACAATTTTTTTTTTTAACAATTGGTTACCATAGTTGAATCTAGAGCTTTAAATAATTCTTTTATATCAGTAGTCCACACAGGCTGGTTCAGTTACTTTAGAATCCAATTGACAGGAAAAATTATTCTTCTTTACTCTGTTTATTACAGTGCAATCTGCAATTATAACACATTAGATATTGCCACTATACATTCTTTAACGCTAAAGTTACAAACACAGTCTTTAACTAATAATGGCTGGAGACAGCTTAAATGGGTAATGAAGAAAAACTTTAATATAAGTTTAACATGACAG